TGCAGAAACTCGCTGTGTTAGCAGAGGACCAGAGTGAAGATTTAGCCCAGACTGTTGACCAATACTGCAAATCTTTGCAGAAAGAGGTGGTGGTGTCCCTTTTGCAAGCTCTCGAGGACACAGCCTGTAGGCTACATATGGTAGGGTGGTCAGTCACAGAGATGCCAGGGACTTTGGCTTGACTGAAAGAGGAACTGCTAAACACCTCAAGTTTTCATTATTCTTGCTGTAAAATAAGGAGGAACCACAGAAGAATGAGTCTAAGAATGGTGACACTGGGTCATGTCCATCTCTGGCACCAGCCACAGCAAATGCCCAGGGAAGAGTTTAGGAACAGAGCAAGCACACAAGAAACCCTCCTGCCCCTCATACCATCCCCCCAAACTCTTGCCACCTCCAGCTCAGCCTCTTCAGGCAGTAACAGGGCTGCTCAGAACAGACAAAGCAGAGATTGTTTCACCAACAGATTTGGTACTTTGGCTGGCTCCACATCTCTGTTATGTCCACAGAACACAGTCCCGTTTGTCACATCCCTGCAGGGGAAGCCCTGGGATTGGCCCTGGTCTGTTCTCAACACAAAAGCCATCCTGATTGCAAGAGACATCCCCAGAAGTGTTTAAAGTCCATTGCAATTACTGAGTTTTGCAGTGCAATTACCAACACCAAGACTCAGCTAAAGCTCAGTTCTGAGGAATAATGGGTCTTTACTGAAAATATCCCAATGGCAGCCAAGTGCTGGCACCCTCCATTGCCCACTACAACTTTTCAGGCATCTGTAGCCACATCTTGCAGCACAGAACAAGCACCTTTCTCAGTCTGAGAGACAGATACTGCTCTGCAGGCTCAGAGCAACTCTAAATTACTAAGGCTCACAAACCTCTGCTGAGCTACGGACAGGAGCAAGGCAGAATGCAAACTGGAGCCCTCAAAACTCTGTTCACTCTCCCATTTATTCCTGAGCCACTGAAACATAAAAAGAACATAGGGTATTCCAGGAAATGGGATGAGATCAGGCAGTGATGGACGAAGCATAGAGTGAAAAGTCAAATCCTGGAGAAGAAATAAAAGATGGTTCAAAACAGTCAAAGAAACTTCACTGAAAAAAGAGAATGCAAAAGTGGAAGAATAAATGGCATCAGAGACAAAGTGGGATTTCAAATGCCAGAGGCTTGCAGAATCTTCTCTTCAATACTTGACAGAATCATAGAATATGCTGAGTTGGAAGGGACTCATCGGGATCATCAAGTACAATTCCTGGCCCTGCGCAGGACACCCCGAGAACCCCACCATGTGATTTCTGTATCTCTCTCAAAAAGCAGTTCCTGTACTAGAGGATAGGACATGAGGTGTTTGTAGCCTCCTTTTCTAAGAAGATAATTTGTACCTTCCGTTAAAAAAAAAAAAAAAAAAAAACAAAACAACAAACTAAAATAAAATAGAAAAATTGTGTTTTCTAGGTGAAATTTATTTCCTCTTGGAAGAAAAAGCAACTGACTAAAGGTTTCCAATTTACAGTCACGTCAGGAGAACAGAACTGTATGTCCAGCCAAGAGACATTGGAGTTTAGTACCACACTGGCACCAGATTTGTGGAGTGCCTGGGTGAGAACAGAGCAGGTACTACCTGCATGGCTGCTGAGCACCTTCCCAGCTCACAGCCTCCTGGAAAGAGGCTGCATGGAGACCTTGCATGGCAGGTCAAGAACAGAATCTAAAATGCACATCCCTCAACAGCCCTGTGATTTTTCTCCCAGTGGCCTTACCTGAAGACCCTGACCACTTGAAGCAAATGGCAAGTCTTCTATCTCATCAGGCTTTCCATCAGGATTCACATTGTTACAATGGCAGTCATTGGAATGTGTTAACATTTTTTACAGTCTGAGAGAGTTTAATATTGGATTTTTCACACTTGTACCGTAAGAAAAAAAATCCAAGTAGAGAACCCTAGAAGATGCATCATGGCTATCGTGAGGAATGAGAGCATCACAGAAAAATAAAAAATGTAAATTCCGACACAAATGATATAAAAAAATACAAAAAAAAAGATGTTCTGACAAGCAGTAGTCACTGAGCATTCCTGCTTCCATGGATCCCTCTTGTTGTGCACAAACAACAAAAGAACTGGCAAATTTGTAAGTCTAAAGTAGGGCTTTTCTAAGACTACAGATTTCTGGCAGGTTAAGAGCTAAATACTCATGGTTCATATAAATCTATGGCACCTGTTTGCAGGACAAGGAGTGTCAGATTTCCTTCATCAAATTCCTGCTATGAGGATGATTTGACCTCCTTAAATCTGACTGCTCTAACAAGCTTTACGTGAAACTAGACATTCCCATTGAAGCAAACATGGCAATCCACTAGTAGGGACTAGGAGAGATGTTCAGCAAAGACTTTGAGCTGCTGCATTTCTACTGGAAAATACTAAGAAGACTCTGGGGCATTTGCTTTAATCGACCATTTCCTGGGATCCTCCCACTAGACCAGGTTGCTCGAGGCCTTGTCCAACCTGGCTTTGAACACTGACAGCCTGGGGCAGCCACAACCTCCCTGGGCAACCTGTTCCAGTGTCTCACCACCCTCACAGTAAAAAATTTCTTTCTAGTATCTAACCTAAATTTCCCCTCTTTCAGTTTGTACCCATTACTCCTTGTCCTGTCACTACAGCTTCTGACAAAGAGTCCCTCTCTGGCTTCCCAGTAGGTCCTCTTCACATACTGGAAGGTTGCTCTGAGGTCTCCACACAACCTTCCCTTCTCCAGGCTGAACAGCCCCAACTTTTTCAGCCTGTCTTTGTAGGGGAGGTGCTCCTCTGGACTTTGTGGCCCTCCTCTGGACTTGCTCCAACAGTTCCATGTCCTTCCTATGCTGGGGGCACCAGAACTGTACACAGTACTCCAGGGGGTTTCACAAGAGCAGAAGAGCTAAATGTCTAATGGGGGATAAAATGCAATTACAGAATCCAGCCCACAGGGAACAGTCACGATTTTCAGCTTCCTTGAGACATCCACAGACTGCTTTAAAATTAAAGTATTTGGGGTTCCGATGCATTCAGATTTTTCAAAGAGATACTTATACTTAAAACTGTGCTTTCAGTTTCCTGAGATGAAAGGAGTTGGGATGATTCTAATGGGAGGAAATGCAAAGTTCCAGGGGGGCTTGATCGGCTGGGCGAAGGATGTCCCTACAGAATTGTGTTTATCTCCTTCCATTTTGAAGATGAGCCAAGGAATGACCAAATTCTGTGGACATGGTTATAAATAAACTGGTTAAAAAGAGACTCCACCTGCAGTTTCTCAGTGGGCTGACTAATCCTTTCCTACTTGGATTGTCTGCATAACTCTGCTGCACAAGATTAACCAGCCAGGCACGGCGCACTCACTGTGTTCCCCCTCAGAGGTGGCCACATCTCATCCTGCAAAACTCATTGTGTCCCTTTACCAGGGAGGATGCTTTGCAAAGGAAGGCAGCTCCTGCTATGAAATTGGAGTTGCCTCTTCCTAGTGCTGATATCTTTCCAAGATAGATTTCTCTGAAGCAAGAGAGGAGAAAGAAAAAGGGAGACTTAGCATTACTTTATATCAAAGCTAAGTGTAAATATATACTGCTGAATTAACAGTGTGGAGACTGACCATATGCAACCTCTTGTTAAAGTAGCCAAGGGGAAACATCCACAAGTCCAGGCTAACTATTGGCATCCAAAATGCCAAGATAAATCAACTCATTTGCAATGAGTTTGCCAGACTTTGTTCAGGTTTGGGGTGCAATTTCAGGAAGAACATTGTACAGGAAAAAAGGTGGAGTGGGTATCCAGAAGCATTTGGCACAGCCCCCAGCAAAGGTTGCCATCTGCCACTAAGCACTACCCTGGCCCAGCACCGCCCAGAATTACTAAATGTAAACTGCTTCCAGAAGAACATTTATAGCAGGACCAAACTCCAAGCAGGAACAGGTAGGCAGCTGCCCCAGCACACAGAGATCACTGAACTACTTGAGGTTATAAACTCACCTCTTCTCCTTTCAAGCCAAGACTCAGAATTGCCTGTCATCAGTTCCCACATGATGTGTGTTCAAATTTTTTCCTTCCCTGCTCAATTTTGCTGGAAGAGGAATATGACTTAATTTGTTTGGACTGACCCATTAAATAAACATGAGCAGGACGTGGTGTGCTAGCAGAGGACCATCTGTGTTTTCATGAAGAGAGCTGACTTCTGAATTTACTGATGTTGTCACAGGCAACCCTCTTTCAGACATATTTATGCTGGAACAGACTCTACATTTCTTTCAGCCTCCAAGGGATTACTTTAACAAAATTTGTGTTTCCTCTGGATTTTTTCCTTAACACTTGGTTAGAGGAAAGTAGAAAACCAATCCTTGATCTGCATGAAGATCTCCTGTGTTTGGTCCCAAAGTTTGGGAGTTACTCACCAAAAGGCCAGAAAGCTGCTATGAGCTGCACTGCAGTGGGGAAATGGAACAAGTCCCTATAAGCTATTAATTCAGATATGAAAAAAAAAAAAGAAAAAAGCTAGTTATAAGGACATATTTGACATTTTTAAGGGATCGGAGAAGAGGAGAGGAAGGGGAGTGGGAAAAAAATATTGCTTCATATCATGACTGTAATGGTTGGTAAGGCCAGAAAATAAATTTAAGCAACATTTTCACCCACTCTGGAGTTTCTAGACTGCTTCTCCATTCAAACAGCAGCAAAATAAGCTTTCTAATTTTTCCCTACAATAAGCACATACTGGGTTTATCTAACTCCCCCTCTCCAACCCGTATGAGCCTTTGCTAGCAGAAGTCTTGTTAAACCAGAAGTCTCAGTGGCAGTTTTCACATACATGTATACATGTGTGTGCATGTGCAACACACATACACATGTGAACTATCAAAATACTATTATAAAGTGAGTGTTCCTTCTCAACATCCCTTCCCTGCCCCCCCCACCTCCCTCCCCTTCCCCAGGCCAGCATATTTTCAAAATAGACAGGAACTGAGCACTTCCAAGAGCCATCCAGCCCCTGGTCACACTGCAAATGTCCCGGTGTGCTGACAAGTCCCCGGGGCCACCTCTAGGACAGGTCTTGACGAACGGCCTCGAGTTCACAATACTGATTCCTTGGATTCAGGGTCTGCTGTACTGCTTGTGTTGGAGACTCGGTTTTTGTGAGTTACCAAAGGTGATGTTTCCGTTTCAGACTTGTTGTTGGCAATTGCTTCTACGGTGACTTCCTTTAGCTCCTGCTCTCTGTCTTTCTTGTCTTTTTCATTCAGGTAATTAAGGATGCCTGCTCCTAGGGCATCCCCTTCCACATTCACAACTGTGGTGGTTCGGTCCCTGGTTAAGATCAGAAACAAAAACCAAAGCAGCAGGCTTTTAGTTTAAGAGAGTTGACAATAAAGGGAGTTGATTCACCCTTGCTGATCCACTAACATCAGTGGAGGTGGACAAGGGAGATGTAGTGTTATCACAGGTGTTCTCCACAGAAGTATGCACAAAAATGTGCACCAGAGCTGGTTTAAGGTCAGCCAAACTTACTACCACCTGGTTCTGGTCTCTCAGTGGGTTGCAGCAAAGGTACTACTCTTTCTCAGGCATCCTGCTTTTCCCAGCCCACCTCCTTCCTCCTCCCTTTCCCCAGGCCAGCATTTTTCAAATGCAAGTTCAGAGCAGGAACTGATTTTGGGTCTATCCAGAAAGTGACTCAGAGCACCCAGCTCTCTTTTTTAACCACAGTCACTCGCACCTTAATCCAAACACCTACTTAAGGGGTCCTTCCAAAAGCACAGAACGATTTGTGTTCTCTGCATGTCTTGCTTGTAGCACCTCTCCTAATCTTTGGTCCTACAACACAAAACTAGTGTGCCAGGATGTAATAGAGGACGTTTATGGGTCATAAAGAAGAAAAATTTCTTCATGTGTCTTTTGAGACTTGTTCATCATTCTGCAGCCTAAGTTAACATGGGCTCAGCTTGTAATTGTGGTCCTCTCTGGTAATTAAACAGTTGGCATTAAAACAAGACACAGGGCTCCTCCCTCCCTCCTTCCCCCTTTTGTTACAAGGCTGAGTTCCTTGACTAGAACAGTGTTGACCACAGAGGGATGCTACTACATATTTTGAAACAAAGGCAGCCAGCACAACACAGGCTGAGGGCAGCCCAGAGTGAAAGGAAGGGCAAGATTTTCACTCTTGCCTCCAAGCACTTGCAAGTACAGGTGTGGAACACACAGATAGAACTGTACTTCCTTAGGAAGCCGGGATACAAGTGGCTAGCCACTGCTTTGCCTCTCTCTCCTGTCCTTTGGAGGTGGCTGATCCCCAAGAGGTTACAGTAAGAAATGAAGCTGTAGCATTAGGATTATGCTCCAGACCTTCTCCAGCCTCTGGAATTCAAGAGGGTCCTCAGGCATCCTAATTTCCACATCTGCTGTGGGAGTACACCATCTATACAGAGAGGATGGTGTTTCCAAAAAGCAGTGCAGAGGGCTTATGGGCAGTCTAAACCAGGAACTGCCCAATAACCCACCAACTGGAACAAAAATACCTCTGTGGGATTCAGATCACCTGACCCATACTGACCAGTCATTTCAGACCACTACCTAACTTCAACTAGAGGGCTTGAAAGCAGATTATGCTTTTAAATTATCAGAGCATGCTTACTCCACTAGCATTTAAACTCTAAGCATGATGTAATTCATGAGTGCTCAGAGAAGTCCTTCCAGTTTGATTCTCTAGTACTTGAAGAAGTGCAGCCAGCCAGGCTTGTTTGAGGAAAAGTGGAGACACCCTTTTCCACAGGGTTCATCCAAGCTACAAGAAATCAATTGCATGTGGCATTTACAGTTATCATGCACTTGTGACTGCATCCCCAAAACTTAAAGCAAAACAAATTTTCTAAGCTCTCCTTAATCTAATTTAGGTGGTGCAGAAGGTAAATTTAGGCCTTAAAAAGGACGTAACTGTGCTAAGTGGTGAGATAAGCTTCTCCAAACAGAGCTTGCATGGAGGTAATCCCTCATGTTTCAAGGAGGGGAATGGGTCTTGGAAAGAAAAGGTGACAACACTGTCTAGTAAACTTGTGGCTCTCAGCAGCATGTTCCAGTCACGACACTGCCCACAGCTGTGATGAGTGCCACAAACTCTCCCTGACAATGGACAGCAGTTCTCTGTGACACCTGTGTTGTTGCTTTGACCAGTCTTGAACTATAAAAAACCAATAGCTGACAAGAGCTTCTGATGGAGACTGCTTCCCATATGTCACCAAGGAAACTTTCCATCACTATTCAGATTCAACTTCCTTTCTCCTCCCCTTCCCTTCTAGTGTCCAACTAACTTCCAGCAATGTTAACACCTTCTGAACAAACTTTTAAGAATCCTTCTAAAGGGAACTGAAGCCAAGAAGAAATAAGTTTCAATAAAGGCTGAATAAAAAAGCTGAACAGGGATTTTAGCATTCTAACTGCTCTAACTGAGAAGGGACCACCTTTTCCATTACCTGTCAAGAGCTACCTGTCCTGTAGGCAGACATATCTTGTAGGGTCTTATTTTATGCTGCTTTTATTTCATATAGGGTTATATTTTGTACTTTGACTACTGTGGTCCTTCTTTCCAGCTGAACATGCTACAAGGAGGCCATAATGAGGTGGATGTCAGTCTCTTCTCACAGAGTAACAAGTGATAAAGGAAATGGTCCCAAGTTGCACCAGGGGAGGTTTAGATTAGATACTATTTTTTCATAGAAAGGGTTGTAAAGCATTGGAACAGACTGCTCAGGGAACTGGTGGAGTCGCCATCCCGGCAAGTGTTCAAAAAACGCATGGATATGGCACTTGAGGACATGGTGGTGGTGCTACACTGATGGTTGGACTTAAAGATTCTTAAAGATCTTTTCCAACCTTAACGATTCTATGTTTCTATGTCATGCAACAGCAGATACATGTGGCCTGAAGTACTCACACAATCCAGTCCACGGCCAATATCAAGGAGAGGTCGTTGGTGGGCAGCCCGATGGCCTCCAGGATGATGGCGATGGTGAGGACTCCTCCGGCAGGGACCCCGGCTGCTCCCACGCTGGAGGCAGTGGCTGTCACGCTGCAAATCAATTCCCATGCCTGGTTAGCAGGAGCTCGTAGCTCTCCTCTGCTGCACTTGCATCACGTGTTCCCATGCTATGGGAATTGTAAACAAACTCTACAGCATGGGACACACAGATCGTTCGCTTCCCAGGCAAACCCTTTCCTGCCTGCTAATGCAAAGGAATGGGTACAGAGCAGAACTCTCAGCAGGATCCACAGCAGTTACCAAGGCAATGGCTCTGGGTTTAACACCTTAATTGCCTTTTCAGAATAAAAAAGCAATCAACCAATACAACTATACCCTGCTGCCTTACTAATATAGCCATTCCCAAGTCCTGTATCAGTTCCAACATGCTGAGTACTTTACATCTCCTGACCTCAAATGCATAAAGGTAAACCTTGCCATGCAGGGCACAGTCCCTTCTCTGTGTCTCGTTTGCACTCCAACACAGCTCCTAAATCAGAAGCTGGAAACCTGCGGTGCTTGTGCTACGGTCACAAACTACACACCTTTTTGTGTGCAACTGAGCTTTCCTTGGGCTATTCACTGCATCATCCTCTGGCCTGTGTTAACACCTCATTCACTAAGAATACCTGAAAGGCTAATTTGGCCAACTCCAAAAAAGTAATAATGCCCCAGCCCTGTCTTAAATAGATGAACAATATACTGGGAAGTGTAATAAGGAAGGAAGTAAAACCAGTTCAGGGGGATAAAAAAATTCCAAGAACCAGCCCTAGGAGGTGTCTGTTGGATGCAGCTATGACAGCTCAGCACAGTGAGGGGCCAGGACTCCTTCTAGGATCCTCACTGAAGAGATTTTGAGGCAGGAAATGAAGATAATAACACCTTATGGGATACAGGATGTGGGAGGATATTCCAGGCATGGAGAGGAGAGAGTCCTAGAGAAGGAAGTAGGACTTAGGTGGTGGAGGGGATAATGGAGCAAAGCAATTAGGAGGGCAACAACAACAGGTTTGATCAGGAAAGCCATCAATGTGATGGTAGGAAGGGCAGAGGTAAGCAGGAGCAGAGTCTTTGGTATGAAATAGATGCATAAGGAACTGAGGAGCTGGCAGGAGGATCCAGAGAGGGAATTGGGCTGCTTTCTGGGTAGAGCAGCATGCCTCAATTACCCAGCCTAATGGTGACTGGAGGATGGAGGAGTGAGGTGCTTAAGGAAGGAGAGGAATTTCATGTGAGAAACAGCTTTAAACCACTCAAAGTCTGTTTCAGAATTCAATTACCCCTCCCAGGTCCTACCTTTCATTAAATCAAGCCTCTGGAAAATCCTGTAAAGGTTTAAAGACTCCATCCTTTAATCACCCTATAATTATGTTTCATGGCAGTTTGCAAGCTTTAGGTCAGAGATGTGGAATGCAAACTGCTAGTTATTAACAGAGGGACCACAGGCTTGAGTGTGTCTGGGGACCAGAAGGATGTGGTTGCAATAGCGAAGCGACTTACAGAATGGTGAAGATTTGCCCAGGGTTGAGGTCGACGTTGTTCAGCTGAGCAATAAACACAGTTGCCATGCACTGAAAAATAGCAGCTCCATCCATGTTTACAGTGGCCCCAATAGGAAGGATAAACCTGCTGATCCTCTTGTCGACCCCATTGTTCTCCTCAATACACTTGATCATGGATGGGAGAGTGGCTGAGCTGGAAACAGAGAACAGGGAGAAATCAAACACTTCAAGGTGCACTGAATGGTCAGTCACTGCCTCGTGGCTTTCATGTTGCTAACATGCTGCAGACAGGATGTCAAGACAACAATGCCATTTTAGAGTCCTTCTCTGTTATAATGGCAATGAGGGACTCTCCTTGTTGAGTCTTGAGCAGAGGTATTTAATAATCTGCTTCCGTGCAGAAATAGCTGATAATGACTCTAATCTCCCAGAAGCAAGACCATGACTTAACATAGTATGAAGCATTACAAGTCTCAAAACCACAAAAATACACCAGCAGATGCCAATACGGCAGGAGAGGTTGTAAGGAGATGATTTAAAATCTCTTCAACCCAAACCATCCGATAATTCTATGACAATATAAACACAACAGATTGTACTAGTGCCTTCTCAAATGAACAGAAAAATAAAAAGAAAATATCACTGTTGGATTTATTTCTTGCATTATAAATTAAATTGTTTTATTCATAAACCCTCTCCTACTATATAGGAGGGTTTATGAATAGTAGTTCAGCTTCTGTGACAGACATGCATCTACTTTTGGAGATCACCTGAAATGATTTTATATATTTATGTTATTTGATCAGAAAGTGTAAATGACATGCTCAATAGTTTGGTTATGACAAATAAAAGGTGATCAGGCCAGATCTTTGAAATCAGTAATGTTAAATCCCTTTGAACTAGCAATCAAATCTGCTTTGCTCCTGAAAATTAGTCTAAACTTGTTACAGGCCCTTCTGAACTTAGAAAAGTAAACTTCTCACGGCAAAGTCCCTCACTACTGATCCTTACTCTACTTAAAATTAAAAGGACAGCTGGCAGGATCTTTTTAAGGCCATTATTTTCACCTTTTATTTTCCCCAAATATTTCCATCTCAGCATCATGCTACAGTCACAGTATTTTGAAGAACTGTTTTCAACAGCTAATTATCAGTATGTGATGTGTGGCAGGCTGCTGACAGCAGTGAGACTCTCTACTCTCTGAAGTCTCTTTTTTGCAATCTCAGGAATAATATTCACACCTAAAACTAAAACTGGGTATTATCAGGTTACAGTGTCATATATAACCAGGCTATAATCCCAAAAGAAGCACATAAACCCACCTGGAGCAAGTGGCAAAAGCAGTGGCAAATGGTGTGACAAGTCCTAAGAGAAAACGATACGGATTTTGACGTGTGGCTGCAAAATAAATAAGTGGCAGAATGATTCCTCCATGGATGAAGTGGCCCAGAATAGAGGCGAAGATGTATTTTCCCAGACTGGTCACCAGAAGCACAACATCTTCCATTTCCACAATCTTGCTCCCAACAAGGAACATAATGCCAATAGGTACATACCTGTGTAAACGAAATATTGCCTGTCATTAAGAACAAACAAAAAGCCTTGGAAAATATGGCGTTTTTCATCCTGGAGATAATGTTCTTGTAAAGAACTTGCTGCTCCTACTGAGGGGTAGTTCCTTATTCACCACACACTCAGGGTAAGCAAATTGGGAAGGCTTCTCTAACACTTTTGCTTGATGGATGGCAAGCAGTTAAATTGAAAAAGCTCTGTTCACTTATGCCCTCAAAGACACAGGTAGGAGAATGCGAAAGGGAAGCTGAGCAGGAAGCAGAAATGCTGGCAGAAGCTACCAGGACAAGACACCAGTGTGGAGTTTCAGGGTGGAAGGCAAGCAAAGACCTAAAGCTGAAGGGATGGCAGATGGAAAGAAAGAAAAAGGAGCAGTATCATGTCACTGGAGTAGAGAAAGGGGTGGAAGAGTTGGGTCTTACACATGCAGAAACTACCAGCATAAGTATGAAGTCAGGTCATTAAAATCACAGACATACTGGATGCCAAGATACTCAGTGTAGGAAAGAAAAAGCTATGCACATACCAGAGAGCTCAGCTAAAGGCTGCTGATGCACATGCCAAAGATAGCAATTAGCTCTGCTATTTGCCTACAAAGGACTAAGTTAAATGATTAAGCTTGAAGAGCTTCCTTCAAGCCAACAGCCAGGCAGACACACATATCCATGCCTCCTATCCAGAAACATGCCACGTCAGCATTTGTTTAAAGTTTCTTTCACCAAGAGCGCTTGGAGCTACTCCAAGGGAAGGGCCACCTGCAGGCCACAGCCACACCTCTGGTCCCAGCAGTGCAGCTGGGAACAGCCCTGGAAAGACAGAACTGCCTTTTCACCAAGAGCACAACAGCTCTAAATGAACTGCGTGAATCAGTTCAGGCCCAGGGTCAGTTCCTCCCCAAGTTCTACTGGGATGTTTGTGGATGAGTACCTCTGCTGATGCTGTCCACACTTCATCCTTTTCTGCTTCTAAGATTTAGAAATACTACAAGATCACCCAGCTCCCCAAAACCCTGCCCCATGCACACATGTGACTACAAAAGGTCTGCCTGTACATCTCAGGAATGAAGAATCCAATGCCCATGTTCAGAGAAGCTGATTTGTTGAGTAAGGACAAACTTCAGAAGGTTTGGTTAAGCATGCAAAGGTTTGGAAAGATGGGCAAGCCTTAAGGTTGCCAGATCACCCACTTCTTCCTAGCCTGCCTCTCCCTCAGTGGTTCTGCAGCTCCTCTGTTCCATGCAGAGAGTACCTCCGTATGTCCCAGATCCATGTGAGCATCCTCTCCCTTGGCCAAATCTCTAGGGGGGCCTGCTGAACATTCCCCACTCAGCCTCTGCCATTGTGCCACCTACTGCCTTTGAACTGTGTTTCTGAGCACCCTGATTAGCCAGATCCAGCTGAGCCTGGTCCTGCACAAGCTCCGCAAACATGAATACTGGATTCAGAGCTGAGATTGGATTCCTCCCCTGGAAGAGGGAGGCTGGAGAGGAAGGAGCTGAAAGTTGAGACCGAAGTGCTGCTAAACGGTCCTGCTGAATAGGACTAGATACAAGCTCAAGCTGCTTTTTCTCTTGATAGTATGATTTCACCCATTCCAAGGTATCCTTTGGGAAGGACATGCAGCTTGACAGACTCTGAACAAATACCAGGACAACTAAAGAGACTTAAGGAAGTAAAGAGACCAAGTAAGGGCTACAGTGAACTGCAGTGTTAAGAGTCAGCAGTGGTCCCCATAATCCACAAAGTAAAGGATTACATACCAACTGATTGGCTTGAAGTGCTGGCACTGTAATGAGCTGAATACAAGAACTGCCTCTTATCAGTATTCAGTGTCCAAGGAATTACACTCAAGAGCAAAAAACTTAAGCTGCTTGGAGACTGAATTTTTCAATCCCTTATGACAGCAACTAACACAGAGATCTGCCTGTGTAAAATCAGGTGTTTTGTTAAAACCTTTCTACTTCTTAGAGAGAGGAAAACAGTAGGAACGACAAATGCAGAATGAAGGGGAAAAAAATACATCTGCTAAAGTACGTTTATAGCTTTCTCAACAGCTTTGGAAAGGGAGTGAGAAATGTCCCACTGTTAATATATTTGCTATCCTTATGAATATGTTTAACTTTGCATGTGAGGTATTATCACTGCTGGTTTCACAGGAGAGGCCTAGATCCATCCAGCTGCACAAGGACAGGTATGATACTGCTCTGAGGCCAAGATTTATCCTATCTGACAGAAAGCCCTGTCAGGAGGCTGCTCCTACCCTGGCTTAGGGGGCCTGAACCACTCTCTAGAGGTGCCTGCCTCCTTCAACGCTGGTTTCTTGCCTAGGGAGAAAGTTCAGTGAGGTCCAGTTCCTAACATACAGACCTTTTTTGATGCCAAAAGCTTTGTGAGATGGGTCAGAGCAACATTCAGCCCATAAACATGTCTAGACTCCAGGGAAGTTAAGTGAAATAATGGACTTGCTCATTAATAGGCCAGAGAAAAAGTAAACAATCAACTTCAGGAAACAGAAAGCTAATTAATTCTACTAATTAATCAAAAAGGAGTCCTGCAGAGGCATTATAAACAAATGTCTAAAGTTTTTCTGACTGATACCTTAAGCTACGAGTGATTGTCTAATTATAGGGCATGAGCAAGAAGAAAAGACCACATAGAGTGATACCACGACAGTCACTTTTGCTGTGATGAGGGATCTGGTAGGAAAAAGCCAGATAGACAGATAAATGGTAAGTTTCCAGAACATAATATTGTACTAAAAGGTGCATCTGCAGTCACACACTTACCACATAATCCAGGAAACCAGGACCATGGTCGCCTCATTGAATGAATTAAAGAAGCGAATCAGATCTTCCCCCTCCTGGCCAAGCTTTTTCAGGGCTACTCCCAAAACCAGAGCGAACAGCACCAGTCCCAGGATGTTCATCCCTTCAATCTCAGTACCGACAGGGATCTGCAGAGAAAAAAAAGAGAAGGCTTGTTAGATGTGAGATCAGCACAGAACGTAACAAAACAGTCACCTCATTTTGTTGCCACCCAATTGATGTGAAGTCAACAAGCAGAACCTATTTTGGAAAGAAGAACCTATTCTGTTTGATCAAACGATCTGGATGCAGTTCAGACACAAACTTCTCTAGCCATGAGCTGGCATGGATTCCCTGGAGAAGGAAAGTGCCTGCTACTACCCCCTCTCGTGCCCTTCAATATGATATGTGTGTTGTCAGTGACCTGAGCAGGAAAATCCCCAGTTTACTCAGGACTTTAGTGCAATAATGAAACCCATGAGAAAACAACCAACGTTATGAAGAAGAAAAGGGGAAAAGGGCAGAGAAAGGCAACATACTGTGACAACCTACTCATTAACCTGTCCATGTCAGCTGTGGGAGATACAGAGAGAACAGAAGAGATACCTGATCCCCTCTCAGAAATCATGTCACTGCATAGTAAGAGGATAAAAGCAGGATCCACCTATTGACAAAAACTACTCTGCTCTGCTAGTCCTTCATGGTTTGTTTCTCAAAGAGAGTTGGAGCCTGTTTGGCAATGTAGTATCATACGAACTGAATGAGTGCTCTTGTGGCTACATAAAAATATAATTGTTTTGACAAACTGTTTTTTTTTCCCTCCCCAACTTGGCAGTACAGGCTCAATATGTCAAATTATTGTTTTATTTGGAAGAACTTCTATAACAGATGAGGTTTGTGTACAAGTTTTGGCCTTTTGGCTGGTTTAAGTGGACACTAGCTCAACACTAGGAAAGAAAAACATATTCTGAGCTAAAAGCTTGAAATGAATATTGACTACAGATTTTGGGATACTGTTCTTGTAAATCTGATAAAATCAGCCTGCTTGAGATGATGTTTTTGCTGGAAGGATACCACTGAACTGGACTGTCTCTCAATGGCAGGTGGAAACAAAGCACTGCAGGGAAGGGGGTAAAACATAAATTATACACAAAAGCAGGAAGGCTAAACTGCTGTTAACAAAAGTGTTTACAAACAGTGAAGGTGCTGACATTTTTATTTGCTAATACAAAATACTTAGATATGGGATCTGCAATTTTTTATGGTAGTTGCTTGCTCCAGGCTAAGCTGCCATTATTTATTTGATTTCCAATTGAAAGAACTGAAAACATGGACAGATACTAAGCATGAGGCACAGTGTATCTCCAGGGATGTCTGAAGAAAGGTGCCCTTTCCTCCACACACAGTAACACTTTTCTGTCTGGATAGTTTTGGCTATATTCTGTTTTGTGTGTCTGAAAGCCCTAAACTCTTCAGTGGTTAGAAAAGACCAAAAAAATGACACCCTCTTATTAAGTGGATAAACTGTCTGTGTACATGGGATATTATTTTATAATATAACATCTTCTACTGGGTTCATTTGATACAAGACTCATACGAAAAGTTCACCTTGGAATGGAATTTTACCATAATGGCCACAAACTTTTTCCACAAATAAAACTATCCTAACAACACTGAATATTCTTTTGGTTTGGTTCTCATTCTGAAAAAAAAATTGATGTAAGACTTTGCTATGGTACAGAAATTCAGTGTTTCAAGCTACTGAAAGAGATCTGGATGTTACTGGGGAGGAATTTAACTATACTACATAATACTGATGTCTTGCAAAGGATCCTTTAAACTCCTCCTACCAGGGATTTGCTTCTCATCTCATGAAATGCAGTGGTGTGAGCCTGAAGCCCAGGAATCCACTACCATTTGGGCTTCTCAGAAACTTTTCCACTTTCAGGTCTTGCTCTCTGTTTCTCTCTCTTGAGCCATTTTTTTTCAAACATACAACATTCATCATCATCTCCCATCACTGCAGTTGTAGGCAGAAGATGCATCACTTGCATGGTGTAGTAACTTATTGCAAGAAATTTCTGCCTGCAAATCAAGGGGACGATCTGCAGCATTCAGGGAATTTCACCTCCCTGCAGCACAACATGGAACAAGTCCAGCAGTAAATCTTCAGCAGAAGATCCTCTCAATCCCAGCCTCTAATACTGGCAGATGCTGAACAGCCTTTTTGTGCTCCAACAGAAAAGTGCATCACCCCAAAGGGGCTGCCAAACCAAGCAGCATTGTGAACACCAAACAAAAACAGCTTTAATGAGGACTTTGTTCCTGGACAAACTATGGGACACGTTATTGTTTGCCTGAAATTATGCGTTCTGGTAGGAAGATTCGTGGAGCTCTTCTGGTCCTTGAATCTCTCTGAAGATCTTATTGTTTTTTAGCTCTTGAAACAAAATGCTTATCAAGGAAACAACTGCTGACATTGAACTGTCCCAGTAGTAGGTGGCTGAAAAGAAAATGCAGCCATGTGATGTGAGGAAGAAGAGCAACCACTGGTTTGTGTATTTTTACTGCTGCCAGAAGAGGAACTGAGTTCCCCCAAGCCTCCCTGTGCTACAGATGGGGAACTGAGATAGTCCATGCCCCAGGAAGCCTTGCTGCCAAAGCAGCAGAGAGGATGTAGCCATAAAAGCTGGGTAAACACGAGGTAAGCATGTGAAACAACAAAAAGGACGTGGCTGAGCAAACATCTACATATCCACTGTTCATTTCATCAGCAAGAGAAGACAAGGCCTACTAACCAGTGGGGGGAAAGAAATATAATCAGTGGAAAATTTTGGTCTACACTGTGCATACGGAAAGTTGAAGGAAAACATTTCTTCTCTTCAATCAAATATTCTGCTGATGAAAGAAAAAAACCAGATAGGAATATCATTTTGCTTCCCTGGAACCAAACTTCTATCACTATGATTTCCAAAAAATCATACTCTTCCTTTCCAAACTTAATCCTCATCTATCCACAAATACTATGGTCAGATCAGTACTGAAACTGAGCTAACAAAAGTGAGATGATGCTTTCTTTTTATTTGGTCCATTCATCCCTAGAGACGGTAGGGCGTCTTCTGGAATTAAAGAAGCTCAGGTCTGGTTTTGCTCCAACAACTGAAGAAAGGTTTTGGAAAAGCAATAGCAGAAATAACCTTTACATCATAACTGTTGGCAAAAACAGGCACCAGTGACAAATTCAGAATATTTTTCCTGATATTACATCAGAGAGGAGACTGATAACAGGAAAAAGAAAGAAGAAAAACGAAAAATAATCTTGAAATTTAAACTGCCAAGAGATGCATTCCTCTCTCTTAAGGAAGAGTGATGGCTTCAAACAAACATTAACAAATACTTGACAGCCAGGACTATGTTCAGTGGATATGTTTAGCCTTAATCCATGCTTGGTTGCTAAGGAGCCCCTACCAAACTTGACACTGAAGATCAATAGAAGAGTCTCATTCCCCTTTCATTTGCTTCTGCTTAAATGTAGAAAAACTCTATAACAAACACACAAAGCTAAGTGCACATTGCTACAGCCTTTCATACTGAAATTGTTTTTCAGCAGCATGAAGCTGCAGGAGCATCTACTGCCCAAGGACACGATAGCACAAAAGGAGAACGTGCTCTTTTGTGATTCCGCAGTCGTTGCTGTGCATCCGTGTCAGATGGGGTCAGTGTGGATCTGGGCTAATGCAACCCAACAGGCACAGGCAGAGCCCGGGTGGATGGAGCTGCCTTCTCGCCCAGTGAAAATGCTCACCGTGTGGTGTCCGGGATAACTTTTCCCCTGCTCGGTTCATGCGTCAGCCAAGTCACCTGTCACCCTGTCTCCAGGGCTGGTGAAAGTTCAGCCCATCAGTTGAAAGCAGAGCTCGTAAACACTCTGTTCTGCATCACCTGCTCACACACCATGCGTGGGGAGGAGAAAGTAATGAAGCCAGTACTTCCTGCACCCGGGGATATGCTCCAGAGTCCCTCTGGATGATCATAAACCGATTTTCCCTTGATGATTTTACAAACTAGTGGGCGAGCCCCAGCTGAGCCCTGCCATGACAAATGCAAACATTAAAAGTCTGTTGCCCTAGGGGCATTCAAATCATATTAAAAATATGGCAACCCAACATCTGATACTGAGCTCAGATAGTCAGAACGAGCCTGAGGAAGAGAAATAACCTTGAAGGTAATTTCTCAGACCTGTCTCCCCAAAATCCAATGAAAGCACATGAGATACTTCATTTGGAGCAAGGCGACACCTTGCAGGGGTACTGGCTCTGTTTCACAGCATGCTGCCTGTAATTATTGCTGGACCTGCAACATGCTGTCTCTGGCCAATAATAAACATGTTTGATAGACCCATGATGCAGGAGAGATGCCACTCAATGGGATACAGAGCATCTCTGAAGTCCTACAAGCTACATATGGAAGATAACACTCTCTACCTCGTCTACACCAACAAACTAGTTTCTTTTTTGACACCATTCCAATAACAGCCTATTTGTAATGTTCTGTCTGTAATTTTTACGCCTTCAGCTTCAAACAAAACTTCAGCAGCATGGCAACTAAAAAAAATTCTCAACCAAATTCTTTTGTGTTTTTTTTAAAGAGCCTTGGGTAGTGGAAAAAAGCCCATTCTCTCCAAACTCTTAATGAAGATAAAGGTTTAAGGGACATACTCAGCCAGCTGGATTGCTATTTAATTCCAAGTCTACAAAAAGTTATTTAAAAACAAGAGGCAGTGACTAATCAAAATTTGGATCAAGTGAGATCAGGTCCAAGAAAGCATGGCCTAAAAAATAATGTGTTTTGGGTCAGACCAGTTGAGCTTAACTCTCCTCCCCCATCATAAATTTTTTGTGTGGCTGTGGGTAACTCATCTGCCTTGTGTGTCTCTGTTCCAGGCAAAGAAAAGTACTTGTTTCTTTCTAATAACTGCTGGAAAAGATTAAAGACTTTGAAGTAGTCAAATGTTACAGCTGACAAGGGCTTGTTTAAAAACCTAAGAAGTGACCTTACCTTTTCCAACGTGACATTTCCAGAGGTAGTGTTTCTGAGCAGCATCTTATAATCTGTCGCATACTGCAGGTAAGAAAAAAAACATAACCAAACAAACCCAAAAAACAGTGAGACAGGCATTAAAATTGTCAGTAAAATATCTAAAATCTAGGGCAACAGTTTACTTTGATAAATAAACTAGACACCTCCAAAGTAGGGCACTTCTTTGGGCTTGTTTTCTTTAATTATAAAATGAGGGAAAGAAAAGGCAATTCCCTGTGACAACAGCAGCATAGAGGAAAAGAGGACTGCTTTATTTCATCCCTGAACACACAGAACACTCGAGGCATCACAGAATATCCTTTCCTTAGTGTTATTTTTGTACTGCTTCTGCTTTTACTCGTGGAATACTGACTTGTACTGTATTATATATTCACTCAAAATGGAGCTTGATTTTAAGAGATTGACCTTGTTTTGATATGAAAGCAAACCAATAGAACACCATGAAGGCAAAAGCTATTATTCCACTCCTGTATCATGAAGAATCACTCTGCCCCATAGCAATATTCTCAGCACTATCTATTCTGACATCCAAAATTAGCAATGAGAACTAAATCAAAATCTTTTTGGAGCCCTGCAGCTCCTGTCCGTCAGTCTAAACCACACTATGTTCTGGTGCCAGTTATCATCCTACCACACACAGCCTCTGTTGGAAGAGAAGCCAGGCTGAGTAATTAATCCAGCAAGAAATAAAATGGAAAATACTGAATAAAAGCGTCGGGTAACAGGTAATGCTTACCCACATGGGAGTCTAAAAGTCTTTAGCCCTGTCAGTTCCGAGCCCAGCTCTAAACTATGTACCCAAGGGTTTGCCAGCTAGCTCTTGCAAAGTGGTAAGCAGCCTGGCACAAAGCAGAGTTGCCACTGCTGCCCAACACACCACCCAAAGTTTAAAGTTTAAAGAATATTTCTGGTGAAGGTACAAAAGATAGGCTTTGAATATGCTTTTGTTTGACGAATATTTTTCAAAACCAAACTACTTGTCATGGAAGTTCTAAGTCCGATTACATCACGTGCTTTTAAAAATTCCAGTTATACAATTAAATTAACTTTTGGTATTTTCTACGCCATATTTTTAGCCCTCTTGCAAAAAAAAGCAGTAACTTTCTCTGCCTGTGCACCGTAGCTCATGTCCAAAGTCCATATAGATCTTACCGTTCGGAAAGCTGCAGCAACAAGATTTGCAGGAAACAGGTTTCTGTAAAAGACAAACAAGAAAAGTAAGTATTCCTTGTAGAAATTCTAAAATGAATGCACCAAGGTGTTTTGCTCTCAGAAACAGAATTCCTTTTGCAAAGGCAAGCATATGGGCACTGGTGAGGTGTGTAGTACAGAAGATACTCTGGCAGCATGGAGCAGATGTCTTCCAACGTCTCCAGAGGTGTCAGTGCCATCTTCTTTGGCTCACATAAAAAGGTCCCTGCTTGTCTGCCAACCTCACCATTTGAGTAGGGCCACCAGAGGCAATCAGACACAATGCTGGTTATACACACCCACCAGCCAGTGGCTACAGAAACTGGCTCGGCCACGCCAGCTGCAGCAACAGCTTAGGGCCTCCAGTGTCAGGCAGATTTTTAACATTACTCATGTGATTACACTGTGCTCACAGCATCAACATGAAGGACAATCCCATCAGCAAAATCCACTTAAGAGAATGGCTTAACCCTTCAACACAACAAGGTCAGCTTCCCTGAACGCTGAGGGAGAGCAGAGCAATATCACAGGCCTGACTTCTCTGCAAGGGCTTGGACAACACAGATGGAAAGCAGGGGCAACTCCTATGGAAAGCTGCAACATCTTCACACAGAAATGCAAATCTAGCAGCAGGTTAGGGCAGACACATGCACCTCTGCTGGGCATCCAGTGTATTTCCGCATCTAGGAAGCAGCGAGGAAAGAAAAATGGTGAACTGGGCCAAGTAGGGAAAATGTTGCTTCTTGTTGTATTTTATAGTTGGTGTTAATGCTACAATTCCTTTCTCCCCTTATGCTGGGCAAAGAGCACGTGTTCCCCTAGCCAAATGACAGCTTTTTTTTTTTGTGTCAGAAAGGAAAATAGGAATAAAATCTGATCTCTGGGGTCATGGCAGGACCCTAGTTGGTGAGGGCAGGGAAGGTGATGGGTATGAACTGAAAATACTGACAGCAGAAGGCATCAAGGAGGCACAAGAACTCTTATGGTAAGGAAAGAGAAGACCTTACCCAGAGACAGTTAACTCTGGTAAAAATCATTTGGGAAGCTGCTCCCCATCCTTTGCTCCTTGCTCTGCTCCGAGGACACTGCATGTGCCTCCAGGCTGTGCCCTGCTAATGGTCCCCGAGTTTTTGCTGTAGTTACCCTGGCAAACACGACATTTCAGCTGTGCTCGTTCCATGACCGACATGGAACGTGCAAATCCGAACCACAGCAAGAAACAGAGCAGCAGAGTCAAACCTTTGAAAGCAAGAGGAAGATTAAAATATGGCCCAGATAAGGACTTTGGTCTTTTTGGTTGCATAGCTCCATTCTCCTGCCACACAGGGAGTTTTCCCACAGCCTTGACAGCAATTGTAAAGTACATGGGACTTCATCAAACACGTGGCTGCTGTGAACTACCTCAGCCTCCCTCTCTGTTTTACTACAAGTGTATTAGGAGACAGCTGCAAAAGCCAAACTGCTCTAAGAATAATTTGCCTGCTGGAGTCTACATTCCACTGAGGATGAAAGAAACAGCGACTTTTTCTCCTCAAAAGTTGACAGTACAGCTGTCTGTCTGAAAGCAGGAGAGCGAGCTCTAATTCTGCAAAGATGCTTAAGAATTGGTCAAATAAGATCAATGGAACAGCTAATGTGCATCAGTGCTTGCACAGCTGGAACTCTCTGGTGGATAAAAACCTTGAGGAAACTAAAAGCAAACTTGCTGTTATCAGGAATAAAATATCACATATACAAATGGGCCCATGCTGTTGGGAAAATAAGGGTATTTCTTTTCAGCTTTCCACAGCAGGATGATTACCTTTTTAAAAAAAGAACTGACTGGACTTTGAAGAAGCAAAGAGATGAAAAAAGACTGAAAACCAACCAGAAACCAATTTTTTTTTTTCTTTAAATCAGCTTTTCCATCCCGATGAAAACAAAGCCAAAGGAAGCAATAGTAAAGCCTAAGCAACATGGTTCTCCAATGTTTAAATGTGGCCAAGAAACCAAACCCTCCACAATTTGCACGGTATGCCAAGCATGGGCCTCACTAATTAAACACTAACTTATCTCCAAGTATATACTTAAAGCACATACTTGAGTGATGGCAGCAATCCTGTTACAGCAAGGCAAGGGGCAGGTTCTTGCTTCAAGTGTGAATACTGCTAAAGCTACTCAAATAAGAACCTAGAGCACACACTTTTCTTTATCACTCCAGCACCAGTCGCAGGACTCGACTCTGAAGGCAAAGAAGAGCATTTCCAACAGTTCACCAAGTAAAAAACCTGGATCTTAATCAAGCAGCTCAGAAGAAGTTGTATGTTCTGTTCAGCTCAACTTCTAACTACACCTGACTGCAAAGTACCCAAACCACACAAAATAATGTTTTGCTCCTCTCTGTTTCAAATCGTGAAGTTCAAGAACAAAATGTGTTGGGACATAAAAAGCAATCAACAAATAAATGGCTTACCTTGGAGGCATGAGGTCTGCAAATACTACACTCATTGCTCACCTAAGCTCAGTCAGCACGTGAATTAAATTCAACTTTAATTACAGGTGGGTCAGATCACAGGTTCTTACCTTTGGATGGATTTGTGCAAGAACACCACAGCAATGCCTAAAAAAAAAAAGGGGGCAAGATGCTGCATGCTTTGGGGAGAGCCAAAAGCTGGCTGGTGACCTGCCTGGGCCCATCATATAATTGTGCCTGCAGGGTTTGCTCATCATGTACAGCAAGGCAAAGTTCACCCACCACAGAAACCCAGACAGCTCTGTCCCTGCGAGCCAGCATTCAGTGCGTCCCTAAGCAGAGGAGTCACATGGGGAAGTGTGAACACCCCTCCTGTGAGGGTGAACCAACAAACAGGAAAGCTGATGAGCTGGGTAATTGGGCATGCAAATTAAATGTGGGTGTCTGCCAGTTGGTTTTTCTGTTAGGACCAAATGTTGAGAAGGTTTTTTTGCTTCGAAAGCCCACAGCAAATGTGAACGTGGAGTTTAGGGAAACAGGGAAAGCTATAGGTGAGCTGTGTTAGCAGGTGGCTGGAATCCCATTCCTGTCACCACCTCTCTCCTCCTCCCTGGTTTGGTGCCCAGCAGGATCAGAGCCAAGCTGGCTTTCTGCAATGTCACCTACTCAGGCAGGTGCCAAGCCCCCTGAGCCCACCATACCAGAGCCAGCCTCTTCTGCCACCTGCTACCCACTTCACAGCAGGTTGTGTCACTGGACTGCTGACTGTTTCTAATGGCTCCATTCCTGCTGTTTCCATACCCTGTGCCAGAGAACACAGTTGCCTTTTTGAAGCAGATGTGGATTATCGCACGAACGTGACGCTGAGTGAACCCTGAGTCTGGGTGATAAGGAGCCCGGCACAGCAGTGTGGGATCAGACAGCTTTGGCCCCATGATGCACAAAGACAAAACCTGCTGCATGTGGCCAGAATGAGACAGGGGACCCATGACATCACAGCAGGCGGACAGAGGTTCTTCGTGCATCCCAGGTGCTCCACTGCTGCCAGGACCTCAGTACACACACACACAGACCCAACCTCCTCTCTGGCATCAAAGTGAAACAGGTGGTTCTACAGAGAGACTTTACTCCCCTCACCACACACCAGGCAGGAAAGTCTCTCTCCGTTGCAAGTTGCACAGACAGCCCCAAAAAAGCCCTGTATCAGAAATCCATCAAACAGCTGTCGAGGGTGACAGCTGTGTCCTGGGGCTGCAGCAGCAGCTGGGCTGAGCCAGGAAACCTCCAGGTACCTGCACAACACACGGTGTGAGAAACCACCCTTCTCAGATCCTCTTAAAATAGGAACGAGAAAGCAGCAGCAGCAAGGGTGGGCGTTACAGTGCGTGAATATTTTCTGCTTGAATACTGTGCTCATCGCACCATCTCCCTCTGCACAGCTGGATAAGTGCATCTTCCTTCCTGTGAAAAGCTGCTCTTACCACCTAAAAGGGACCATTACTTCCCTAATCAAATTTAGCAGGAAGGTCCCACTGTATTTTTGTTGCAATAGAAATCTCTGTTTAGCTGCAACGCTTGCTGCTGGAAATCTCAGACAATAAGGGAACTTGGAGGTATTAATGGAGCAAAGAGGGGCTGTAGCTCCTCCCATTCTCTATTTTGACATTATGGTCAAATTGCTCTCTTCTTTATAGGCCTGAATATTTCCACCAGCAGGATAAGGATTCCACAGGAAATCCTTCATTGTATGTGTAAGGGATTATTATTAATAACTGTTTCTAAACGATGCTTTTGCTAGAGCTCTGCAAACAACTTTGCTCTGGCAGCAAAAGCATGAAGGGATATCCAGACAAGTAGAATGAAACCCTAAAATACTACACATTCCTCTTGCATAGCTTCTTGCAAAAAGGTTCCACTTCCGATGCCAAAAACCTTGCTGTTGGAAAACATACTTTTGTGAGGGTGCCTAGAAAAAAATATTCTGTGTTGCACTATCTCCAGTTTTGGTTTTTTTTCCAGTGAAGTGTTTTCAACGGTACAAGTCCACTCACAGCAACTTTATTGCCATCTGTGGCAAAATGATGAAGCCCAGTTTGAATTCCTACACTATCTTTATTTTTCTTTCTGTCCCAAGATTTCCATTCATTATCACAGAGTATTTTTTCTCATCTGCTTTTTGATATGTACGTGGGTGCTCAATACACACTCTGGACATACACATATTTCTCAGTGTGTGCATTTGTTTCAACACAGAGAAACATGAACATGTGTTTACTTATAGCAAATACTTGATACTTTTTTGCCTTAATGTTCCAGCCTGCATCTTTGTTACTTCAAAAATAAAACTAAAGAGGGGAGAGTCAGTTGTAAAAGGCAACAACCAATATAAAGAACTAGAGAAAGGAGCAGAAATGTTCAGAGATTTACCAAAAAAAACCCACTAGACAGTGCAGGCACATGAATGAAAACACTGAGTTCTTCCTACAAAGAAGCAATCCCTGTACTTCAAGGGAGATTCCACATGGAAAATGACACAAGCCAAGGGGGACAGT